TTAAATATGTTGTTACTAACAAAAGAACAAAAACCAGTGACTTCTATAGCAACCCCACTTCCACGAGCACGCAACACATAGATAAAGAAGTAACCTCAAAAACGAATAGGAGTGACGACGAGAGACGCAATTATGACCCAATTGCTATTTGCTACCCCCAATTCGAAATTTTTGAAAAAACAAAAACATTTATGTACGGACTTTAATATTTTTTTTAAAAAATACAAAATGCTTTGTTTGGGGGTAGAAATTATAAAAGTTCGGTCAACCTGTTTGTTTATTATTTTTAAATAATTGACCCTCAGTTTGAATTTTTATTTATTTATTTTTAGGTTTTCAGTAATTACATAAAGACCTTAAGATATGGTAAAATATAAAATATTTCACTTGTAGGCGGAAATTACAAAGAAAGAAAGTCAACCTATTTTTTTTTTTTCAAATCTACCCCTCAGGCAATCAAATTTTAAGTTTTTTTTGTTTAAAAAATTAAAAAAAATCAAAATTTTGATTGATAAAGGGGCAATTTTGAAAAAACAAAAAAAAAAAAGTTGACCAACCTCCTTTATAATTTCTGTTATAAACAAAGCATTTGGTATTTTACTTAAAATTTTTAAGATCCATACATAAATCACTATTATTTTTCTGTTTGTAGGGCCGTATCCCAACCTTTAGGGAAATGCCCTACTAATGAAAAAAATTTAAGAAGATAAAAATAAAAATTTGGTCTGAAAATTTCCTTAGATTGAAGGATAATTTTGAAACAAAAAACTTAAAAAACAAGTTATCCGACTTTCTTTGTAATTTTTTTTATAGAGCATTTCCTATTTTAAGAAAAAATTTAAGATCACTTCGTAAATCACTAAAAGAAAATTCCAATATAAAGGCAATTGACCATTGAAAACAAAAGATAATACAAAAGAAAAAAAAACAACCCAGTCATGAGTGGACTGTGTGTCTATCATGTGTCATCATTTCATCACTGGTGCGACATGTGTTGAGTTTACAAGCAATTTGAGCAACATTGCACCTCCTTTCACACTTTTCTTATTTATTTGGTTTTGGATAAGCATCATGATTTGTCCCCATTCACGTAAATTCGTCTCCTCCTCATTGCCATGGTTAGTGTAGGCCGTTCGATAGATTAGAATGGCAACAAAATGTGGTGATTGTCGTATTATGAACAAGCCAATATGCAAAGGACTAGCCTTATCGCATGGCTAGTTAGTCAATGATGAACTTACTGAGGCCACTTATTTATTGCCCCAGAGCGGCTTATTTGGATGTCATAGAAGGAAAAAAGTTTACATAATGTTGCAGTCTTATTCGACAATAGGGTGCAGCTCAATAATATTGTAAAAAAGAGTGTATAGATATAAAAAAGAGAAAAAAAGAATTTCAAATCTTAAAAAAATTGCACATTTGTAACAAGGTATCTAGATTGTTTGTTTTATAATTTTAAGTACGGAAAACGGTTTGACAGGTTGCAGTGCTGTCAAAATAAATAAAACTTCACCTCATAACTTATCTAAAATTGCAATTCAAGCATTAGAAAACCTTGACATCGACAAGTTTGGCTTGAATATTATGATTATGAATAAAAATAGGATTTTAAGCTCTAAAAATAATATCTATTATAACAAATTATCTAGATCGTTTATTTCATCCTAAAAATAAGTGTTTATAGATTCGTAAGATCTATACCATTTTTTAAGTTGAAAAATTGTTTCATGCAAGCTAGACCGCATTTCTACAATATGTGGTCCGGAAGTATAAAGCATCCATCTTAAAAAATGGATGCAAATAGGTGGTCTATCTCAAAACAATTGTAATAAACGGTCCAAATGTTTTATTAATATAATTATTATTTCTAGTTTTCAATTTTTGTTTTTCTTTGCATATTCATGATCTCCATATTAAAGATTATATATTTTCTCAAATTAGGATCAAATTATATTTAAAAATATATTTATTACCAAGCCCGCATTTCTATAATATGCAGGTTGGCCGCATAGAAACCGTGTTATTTTGAATTTCAAAATTTATTGTCGGTGTGGAAAATTGATTTAAGAGCCATCACAATGATTATAGATTTACTGTCTCTACAGTGATTCTGAAATGGGAAAGGTTTCTATACTTCCCCAATAGCATAGAAGATCTATGCTTCCCCTACCATCCAGCCATCCAATTTTGATCAAGTGTGCCACTCACTGTTGGATTTTGGATCTGATGCCTCCAAGTATTTTATTTTTAATTTTTTTATATGAATTTTATGAATATGAAACTTGGTGCATGTCATCTTCTCATTAGACACACCTAGAAACAATATTAAAAATAATTTTTCGATAAAATATAATGACCAAAATACCCATTGAAAGTTTTAGGGGTATTTTGATCATTTTATTTTATTGATATTTTTAAAAATAATTTTTTATAAGTATGAGTTTAAGAGAGGTGAAAATAATTTTTATATAAAAAATTAACAATAAAATAGTATAGAGACGTGACATTATGATTGGGGCCATATCATCCGTCCATTCATAATGGACAGTTGGATAAAGGGAAGCACATAAGTTTCATGCTATAGAAGAAGCATAGAAAGCTTGCCCTTTTGTAATAAAAGATTGACACAATTTCTATGCGGCTAACCTGCAAATTGTAAAAATACGGGTTTGGAAATTAATATATTTTTTAAATATAATTTGATCTTAATTTTTAAAAATTATATAATTTTTAATATGGAGATCATGAATATAAAAAAGTAAATAAAATTTTACTACAAAAAATAATATTTATATCAAAAAAATATTTGAACCGTTAATTATAATTGTTTTTAGATGGGTTACCTATTTCAATCCATGGATGGTTTATAAAATGGATGCGACAGTATGTACCTCTAGACCGTATATCGTAAAAAATACAGATTGCGACAAAGTTTTAAGTCATGCTACGACATCTGACCTTAGGACTGCATAACTTAAAATTGCTCCGTACATAGAGATAAGTAGAACATTTTTTTGCAAATCTCACCATTTCCCAAAAACCTTTTGACGTGTCATATCATTACAATGACAAGGACAATTCACGACTACAACCACTCCCTCTTCGAGACTGATTGTTTGCTTTACTCAGTAAAATACGGGTGCAGTGGGCATACGCATGCATCCGTAACATGTGCACTTCAAATTTTGTCCGAGGTAAAAGTGTTTTTTTAAAATTATTTTTATATTAAATTATTAAATTTTAAATTTTAAAAATAAATAAAATCAAATACATCTATAAACATATAAAAATCTTAAAAATAAACAATGTAAATAATATATTATAAAATATACTATTTATAAAACTTAAAATCTTTTTATTGCTCATATTCATACATCAAGATGTTTCAACGTTAAAAGTACCTTATCAAGATGTTTCAACGTTAAAAGAACCTTTTCTAATGGATTTTTGAAAGGCATCCACATCTCTAAATTATAAGGTCACATCCACATATAGCATCCACATTTCTAAATTATAAGGTCAGATCCACATATAAACTTTTACCTTCCTTCTTTGATCACAAAAGCGACTAAAAATACCGAGAGGACCTCCCCTCCCCCGACTAGACCTCCCTCCTACACCTAAGTATACAGGGAAATTTCCTACACCTAAATACATAGGGAAATTCTTTATATGTAACCTTAAACAATCCATTTACGGTGCCCTTCAAATTTTATCATAACATATAATTTTGAGGTAAAATATTCTTAAGATTATCTCAAAATCTATTATCATATGTAATTATAAATTTTTAAACTTCAAAAATGATTAAAATCAAGTAGATCTATAAATATATGAAAATCTTGAAAATTGACAGTCAAGATAATGTGTTATAAGATGCATCATTTTTGGGACTCAAAATCCTGTTTTTTTTTCATAGTCATTCATCTCGATGTTGAGATGATCAATTAGAGGGTTTTTCAATATTAAAATAACCTTTTCCGATGGATTTTTTTAGGTGCATTAGTAGTTCTACATTTTAAAGTGACAACCTTATATAAACTTTTCCCTTGGATAAAAGGTTGCAACTTTAAACAATCCAATTATGGCACACCTCTAAACTTTATCATATATGTAATTTTGATATCAATTATTTTTTAGGATTGCTTGAGTATATATTTTCATCTCTAAGTATAAAACTTTAAACTCTAAAAATAGTTCAAAGCAAATGAATATATAAACATATGAAAAGTTTGAAAATGAACAGTCCATATAATGTATTACAAGATACACTATTTCACATAGTCAAAATCATTTTTTCTTTTCATATTCATACATCTCAATGTTGAGATGATCAATTAGAGGGTTTTTCAACATAAAAATAATATTTATTGATGGATTTTTGAGCTGCACTTTTAATTCTACATTTTAAGGTTGCAACCTTATATAAACTTTTTGTAATTGGGGTCGGTGTATTTTTTATTGACTGCTAATGAGTATAAAAATCCTCTTATTTTCTCTTTTTGGGTGATTAAGTGGGGAAGTCAGTTCCCCACCCATTTTTTCAAGTGGATTAGAAGTTACTTTTTAAAAATATTAGTGAGGTGGTGTTAGTGGCAGTTCGGTAGTGTTAGTCGCGTATTTTCAAGTAGACCAGTACCGCTTTTTTTAAATAGGTTATGAATTAGCTTTTTGATGGTATTAATAAGGTGTGTTAGTCATGAGAATAAAAACTACATCATCGTGACTAATGTTTGAGGAGCTACCATTACGAGCCCCTTTTCCAAAAAATCCTTTCATACTTAATTACATGGGGAGTTCACTAGTATAAAACTCCTACAAAAACCTCTTTCATACTAATAAAAAAAAAGTGGGAATGGGGTCATAGTGGTAACATTATTTGAGCTTCAACTAACGGACTATCATTCTCACTTAACTACCATTCTCACTTACGTATTTGAAAAACGCTGATTATTTTTAAAAATAAGTTGGGACCTGTATTCGCACTTATCTACCCAAAAAAAAAAAAACACCTATAATTACGTAGGCTCATTTCTAAGTTCCAGTTCTTAAACTACAAGACAAATCAATTAAAAGTGGAACACATATGACATAGGAAATTGATAATAAACTAAGATAACAAACCATTCATTAGTCGGGTGATTGGTCCTCGGGCAAGCGAACCCGGATCGCCTGTACCTCAAGAGCCAAGGACATGAGGTTCTCCACAAAGACCCTCAGATTCTTATAAGAGGAGCCCCCCTCTTCTAACGCCTCTCTTGCCGCCTCTTTCAATTTCATCGCATTCTCTCTCATCTTGGACGCCCTTGGCCCCTCCCTTATCTCCTCTATGCACCTGCAAACCTCGTCTCTTCGGACCACTCCCTCTGCATCGCGCTCGAGCCGGACCCCAACGCCGAAGACATCGACCAAGAACTTTGCATTCGTGACTTGGTCGCCCCAGTGAGCAAATGCTAAGATGGGGGTGCCGGCTGCGATGGTCTCGAGAGTCGAATTCCATCCACAGTGTGTCACGAAGCAGGCGACGGCCGGGTGGGTCAGCACCTCCACCTGCGGGCACCATTTAACGACTTTGCCTCGTCCGGCGGTTGCATCTAAGAATCCGTCTGGCAGCAGGAACTTGGAGGTGCTCGCAACCGGTTTTCCCACCCAGAGGAAGGGCCGTCCGCTGCTCGCGAGGCCCCACGCTAACTCCTCAATTTGCTTTGGCGGTAGGCTCACAACGCTCCCAAAGGCAACATAGATTACAAATTCTCTGGGCTGAGTGCTTAGCCAGTTCAGGCAGTCATCTTCGGGCTTCCACAGATCGCCCTGCATCTCGGACGCTGTGGATTTGCCGAGCAGCTTCGAGGGCACGAGCGGGCCCACAGGCATGATCGGTGTGAGCTCCGACATGGACCGAATGGCTTCAGTCTCGAGTGCATGGAACGAGTTCGCTAGCACCCACTTCACCTTATTGATTTTCCTGATGTGGCACAATATCGCATCTGCCAAGCACTGATATGGCGCAAAGGGCACGAGGAAGCTCGGGAGCTCGTTCGTTTTCAGCACAGGAAGCCCCCGAAGGCTGATGTCTATGTTTGGTCTCTCCGGTGTCGGGAACTCGCCAAGCCTGTAGAGGCTTCGGTAATAGACGGCATAGACAGCACAAGACTGGATCCAGAGCATCGCGCATGGGATGCCAAAGCCCTCAGCCACATCCACAACAAACGGCATGAATGGGTTGCTCACAACATAGTGCACAGGTCGGCCCCGGGCCTGGAGGTCATTGATCAGAGCCGCCAGCCCTTCTGGACCGGCACAGTTGAGCTGAGCCATGAACTTGTCAAGGTCGTGCTGATTGTTATCTGGCATACCGAGGCCATCGGAGAAGGTCTCGAAGCTGATAGGCCCAACGGGGCCAGCGGCACTTGCATCGTGCATCTGCTGGCCGACGGTCTTGTTGGTAGCTAAGCTCACAAGAAGGCTGGCGTTGGAGGCGGCGAGCAAATCTGATTGCTGGCTTAACATGGCCTTGTCCTGGGAAGGTGACCAGTAGGATATGGCACCCATCGTGGCTCGCCTGTTGCTAGTGAGCTTGGTTGATGCTCTGGTTTCCTACTTCTAGTGACAGAGGAGAGGGGGCTGGCTCCTTTGATGCAAGGCTTCCAGTGCGCAAAGATGGGATTAAAATAATGGTATTAGTGGGGGGAGGGGGGGGTGTGAGGTCTCTATCTATTGGAAAAGGTGGGCTCCCTTTGTCCTTTTCCCTGTAAGAAAATTGGTTTCATAGGTATGCAGCCTTACTAAATAAGTAAACCCTTATCTCATAAAAAATAATTATAATTCAAGCATTAAAAAAACCTTTACATTGATCATCTCGGCTTGAACATTACAGTTATGGTAACAGAGAGTAGGATTTAAGTTGGGTGCAGTTGGCATACAGACGCTTCTGTAGGTGTAGAGGTACGGCGCCCTTCAAATTTTATCATGGTATATAATTTCAATATAAAATGTTATTAGGATTATCTCAAAATCTATTTTTACATTTAATTATAAATTTTAAAATTTCAAAAATGGTTAAAATCAAGTAGATCTATAAACATATGAAAATCTTGAAACTGGATAGTGTACATAATATGTTGTAAAATGCACTATTTCTGATACTTAAAATCTTTTTTATTTTTCATAGTCATATATCTTGAAGTTGAGACCATCAATCAAAGAGTTTTTCAACATTAAAACTACCTTTTCCCATGGATTTTTGAGGGGCATCTATAGTTCTACATTATAAGGTAGTATCGTTATATAAACTTTTTCCTTTTAAGTTTTGAAAATATTATATATTATAACAAATTATTTAGATTGTACAATTCTCCCTAAAAATAAGTGTTTATAGATCCACAAGATCTATACTATTTTTTGAGTTTCAAATTTTATTCTCTATATTGAAAATTTATTTTAGAGCAATAATGGAGATTTCTTTATAGAAAGTGCTTTCGGGAAGCGGACTTGACGTAAGAGTTTATTTTGTTTTTACTGGGCTTTATAAAAACTTCATGCTTTCTTGCGAGGGTGCAGTTTGTATAGGGCTGAGGCTCTAAACAATCAAAGTAGAGCCCATCTTCAAATAGTGTCAAGTAATATGGTTTCAACATTGAAAATCTTTGTGACAGCCTTAAAATATATTTTTATATCTAATTTTAAAATGTAAATATTTAAAAATAGTGTAGATCAAACAGATTTATGAAAACTTGCAAATCTTGAAAATTGACGGTCCAAAAATGCAGGACTAGATTTATTATTTCCAAAACTTGAAATCCATTTTTTTCTCATGTTCATGCAGCTTAATGTCGAGATGGTCAATTTGAGGATATTTGGGCATCAAAACAATGTCGAGATGGTCAATTTTTTAGGTGAGCTCTAATTTAATTATTTAGAACCTCGGCTCTATATAAACTTTTTCTTTCTTGTAAATATCAAAATAGGGATCAAATCTTCTTAAGATATCATTAGAAGGGTGAAATGATTATAAATTACACTCTAGGGCACGTGCTTCCAAATCCCCTCTATGTCTTGATGGGAAGCCATAACAATTAGGGCGTGTTTGATAATAGGAAGTGGCTTCTAGAAGTTGAGAACTTTTCAACTTTTTGTGTTTGATAAAAATGAGAATCTCAAATCGAAAGTTTTCATCTTCCCACACCCTGTGTAAAAAACGTTCCGACCCAAAGGTCGGAACCTAAAATAGGAAGCTCTAAACTTCCTCCCCATTCGATAACCTAGAGCACCCCTCCCCTTCGATAAAACCCTAATCTTTGAGCAAACCAACCCCCCCCCCCCCTCCCCACCCCTGAGCACCCACTTCACTGAGCACTCCTTTCTGCGCCATTGAGCACCCACCCTGTTGAGCGCCCTCTTTTCACAACTTTTCATCTCGCCGTTAAGCCAGCCCAACACACCATTATCTCAAGCAAACTTGTGATCTTTGCCATTGATCTTGAGGTATGCACTTTATTCTCTCTGATATTAATCATTGTGTTTGTTCTTGAGCTCTTGAAGCAAATGGCTCTTATTACTGATCTCTATGTTTGTTCTTGAGCTATTGAAGCTTAGAGCTCTTATACTCCATGATTTTAGGGTACAAGTTTTTTTGTGGGGTTGTCCCTCTCTGTTGACTCCCAATTTCGATCTTAGTTTTTTTTTTCTTGTCTCTCTTTCTCTTTGTTTGAAAATGGGCAATGGATGTTACTTGCTTATAAAATGCCCTAATAAGTGTTTAATAGTTGCTGGAACTTAGTGTTCTATTCGATTATGTGGGGTCGTATTATTTGATGATGGATCATTTGATTTTTGTTCATTTCTCCAAATGTTGCTGTACTTTGGGTTTCTCTTTCCATGGCTGTTGATTAATGGGTATAATATATAATTTGCTCATTGCCTAGAAATAACCATGCTCTCTCTCTCTCTCTTACATAACGCACACATGTGTGTGTTGGTGAAATTGAAGTATTGTGAAATTGAAATATTGGATTGGTTTTTAAATCTTATGCGAGTGCTTTTATGATGAATTAACTGATGTAGCTTCCGTGTATTTGATGTGAATTCTCCTTGGTAAATTATGAATGTTTAATGTTCTATGAATTTATCAATATAGAAACTTCAGTATGACCTTTGTTAAACTGTCCATGTAAATGTGGTAAATTAATTGTACTTGAAGGGATTTTATAAAGGGCTTTTATGAATATTTTTTTTGAGGATTTTCTTTTTTTTAAATTAGTAAAAT